AAAAGAAGTGATTTATCCCAGCACTATTAGACTGGAAGCGGCGGCTAGAGGTCATCTCTTGGAGAAGGAAGAAGCCAAACCTCTGCAAAGGTTGCAGAAATGGCTTCCAGCTGAGCAGAAGCACACCTCTTAAGCACCCCTCATGCACACATGAGGGGTGTGTTAGTGAAACAAGTTGCATGATCTCTTATTCATGCATACATGAATAAGAGATCATGCAACTTGTGGCTGTTATTTGACCATAGCAAATTTGACAAACTACGGAGAAATACCACTCTTCCATAACATCCTCTGTGATCCTCATCAGAAATTATCTCAGTGGAAAATGTCGACCTTGAACTTGTGGATCAGCCCGGATTTTATTTTCTTACATTTTTAGCTCTGTGGATGTTTTATTTTTGATTTTTGACAGACAAAACTGAGCTTTGTCTTTTCTTTTGGATAACTTGTTTCATTGTTTTCATCCCATCTATACATATTTGATGAGGGAAAAAAAAATTTTTACACTTTTTTTCTCTTTCATTGTCTGTGTGTAGGGATGATCTTATCTGCTTTGTGACCTTCAACTTGCTTTCATCAAGGTTCACAACTTTTGAGCTCTGATTAGTTTTAAATATTTACATGTATGTAAATGCATATTCTACAGAAGTTTGAATCCCTGTGTAACCAGTTTATTTTCCATAGGTACATTATGATAACATCAAAATGGTCTTTGTGCTGCAGCAGCTTCAAGCATAAAATCAGGAGCAAAGGGTGAGCTAATACTTTGTCTAGACAGTCAGAACTTATTTCATTAACCAACAACCTGGACCCAGCCCCCCATCAAGTCCTGCTGACGCTTGGATGTCCAGTAAAAGACACTGGGTCATCAAGAGTATTTCTTCTGGTGTCAGTAGCCATTAAGCCTCAAGAAGTTGTCCAAATATATCTAAGCCTGGAGACACTGAGCAGACAGACCGGAGTCGACAGTCTCCCAGGTGATGGCTGACGTTCCTCCCTTCAATCTTTTCACCCTGACATTTTGTTGTCGATTGAACATAAAGCAGTTCCTCCGGTGGTGGAGAAAAAGCTGAAAGCTTCAGCACTTTATCTGATGCTTCAAATACATTGTTCTACTTTTAAAACTCTGGATTGCACAGATCTCAAGGATACTTTGTGCATTTTCTTTGCTATTTTTGTCAAACGAGGAGATGCTTTGCATATTTAGTAGCTTCTAAAATCCGTCCTCTGTGCCGTGTCGTCAGGGTCTGGATATAGAAGAGTTTAATAAAAGATGGCAAACAGAAGTCATCAACGGCTACACTTCAAGCGCCTCTCATGACCTCCCTCCTCAATCTCTGTTCTCTCCCTCCCTTCCAGTCCATCCCTCACCCTTAAACTCCATGCAGAATGGCCCTGATCCTCCCAAAAAGAAGATTAACCAACCCCTGACAGAGAAGTAATCTCTCTGAAAACATCGACTATTATCGTTTCAACATGCTGCTTTTGACCAGACTGAACTGCCTCTCTGGTATGCTTAATTGCAGACTGTGGGACACACAATGCTCCTTTAGGTATGCTAAATGGAACGCCTTGGCTACTGAAGGCACTCCAACATTGTAAATGTACAACAATGGAGTTTTGCAGTTTGGGAATAGGCAGCAGAGTTCAGGAATCCAAGCATAGATTTCACCTTCATTGAGAGTTTAGTGTTTCAGACTGGAAATCATAAATATGTTTAAAGTTTGAGTTTATTGAAGACTGATTCATGAGAGGCAGACCTCTTTTCCCAACCAACTATAATTGGTCACATTGTTGTCTATGAATGTAGTCATGAGATAACATTCCAACCATTTGACCTCTTGTGTTTGGCTCATTTAATTACTTATCTGTCTTGTGCACAAGGCCCCTTAAACTGCTGCCGTTTGTTCACCTTTTCCTTTTCCTCATTGTCAGAAATGCAGGAAATTATGAAATATATCAAAACTGAACTTTAAGTGTTTCGATTGAAGTCGCAGCTCTTTAATTTTGTTTTGTTTGGCAATATTTCAAACCCATACACCATTTTCAGGTGACACATATGATCTCATCTTCATAAGCAGTAGTAATATCAAACCACCTGTTGAAAAGACTGTGACTCTATGGGTGATGGGAACTATGATTTTATGTGATACAGATGTATGAAGCAGTTAGATTTGGCCTGTCCTCATAAAACCAGAGCGCTCCATAATCACACTGGCAGATATGTTTCCATAAGAGGGACCGACTGAATCTGTGCCCATCCATCCATCTCAGTGTCCGTCAGCCTGTGCCTCAGTCACACGGGGCTGACGCTGTTCTGTGACGCAACCCATCATTCAAAATTATTTTTAGCGTTAAAGTCCAGGCGCAGGAATCGGTAATCCAAGGAGTGACATCTGGCCCTCAGGGCTTATGTGATTAGCAGAGAGCCTTGGCCCTAATAGCCTCACGGACGTTCTGTGTTGCTTTTCTAGAGAAGTCCAAGCAAATCATTGGGAGAAACAAAACAGACATGTTAATTGCATAGAAGAGTTTAAAAAATGTACAGAAAACAAGTTGAGGGTACTCTAAGTTAAATGTGCAGGAAGCTCTTTAATTTAATTCACTTTCAATCCTGCTGCATTACGGCTAAGAACAGATAACCACATATTAACTATTAACTACTATTTGATTCTTTTCTTTTGTCAATGCAGTCACAAATGTGAATTTTGTCTTTTATTCAACACAGAATCAGAGGAAAAAAGATTAATGCATGACTCTAAAGTAAAAGTGAAATGATAGAACACATGCATAGACATGCATTCATCGTCTGTTTCTCTGTAAACTCAGTCAGTGTAAAAAGGATGGTCTGAAGTAGGTACCGGACATTATCAGTTAAGCATGCTTTAAGCTCTGTTATATGAAATGCATCTTCAGTTGTGCTGCTTTCAGGCTAAAACCAGATAACCACACAAAGTCAAACTAGGCCAAAATGAAAGATAAAAAAAAAATGAAAAAAAGAAATTGTAGGAGGAAGAGAGGTCAGCAGTGATAAAATAAAACAATTGAATCAAAGAGGAGAGGAAGGCTGCCAGCTTGCTACTGAATTAATCATCATCAACACTGAAAGGGCTAATAATGACAAAGTGGCCATTTCTTCTGTCTGCACAGTGGAGCCTGCAGTATAATCCTTGTTCTATTTGGAGACAGGCTTTTAATGCTTAATCGCTTTTGAAAACAAAACATAAGATTTCCAGCTTCTAAGGTTTTTGCTAAAAATCCCAGTCTCACATACAGAAAACAAGTTTTGAATTCTGATTTCCTGAGCTTTGTTCCAGTGAATCAGTGGATCAGTCTGTGGGAACGGAGGGAAACTCTTTGTTTGTTAGCAGTCATCTAATTTAAGGTCTATGTGCCCAAGCCTCGGATAATCTTTTTTTCTGCTATAATAATTGTTTCAACGTTACATAGAAGTCTGTTTGCAAAAAAACAGAGAGAGAGATAAAGAAAGGGGCTATTTTGGGCAGCTGTTTGCTTGGAGAAGCTTTTGCTTATTCTGAGGCAACTTTTTCCCAGGAGTTCGGAGCACAGCCTCACTGCTGCTTCTGCTTTTGTTTTGTTGTTTCCAGGATCTGTGCTTGTGCATGAGTTCAGTGCCCTTCTTCTCATTTTTATAGTTGCTTGAACACACATTCTCCCTCCACCTTCTCTTTAATGAGTAATTGTGTAACAGTAATTGCCTGTGTATGTTTTTGTGTGTTTTACATCTAGGAGGATAAGAAAAACATGACTCTTTCAAACGTACATTCGTCATATATGTTTTTATTGTTATTTTGTGATGCTGATCTTCTGTAGATGTCAATTAAAAGTGTTATTATTCACACAGACTGTATACAGTGCTCTGACTGAGAAAAGAGGGGGAAAGACCTGACCCAGTGGTTTGTCTGAGCAGCATGTAATCCAAATCTGCTTATCTCTTTGCTGAACATTTTGCTGTGTCTTAAAGCTACTGAGCAATTAGAAGAAATTTCAAATGTTTGATTATTTCTCTTAGAAATATTATTAGAATTATATAAGTAATACCTCTCACAAGGCTTTCAACAATTTGAACAAATAAATACTATCCTATTCTATTTTATTCTACTGACAGTCTACATAAACTATCAGGTCAGGCAAGCAGAACAATCAGAAATTCAACTGCTCAGTTGGGAATATCTGTCAATTGTACCACTAAAAACCCTGCGTGCAGTTGCTGGTGAACATGAAAACTAATGCTGCCAACCGTCATCCTGTGCATAACATGTTGATGTTGGTGGCAGCATCATGCTGTGGGAATACTGAACAACAGTTGAATTCCTGCCATCCCCGGAAGGACTCCTGTTAGCAGCTGCAGAGGACTGGGATGGATTGGTACTCCCAGCAGGAGATTAAAGATTATAGAGCTACTGATGGAAAAGCAAAGTTTGGATCAAACTACATTAACAAATTAGAATGTCAAAGTACAGACCTAAATAGTATTAGTTATCTGAGAAAGGTTTGAAAAGTGATATTCCAAAGCCGTCAACAAAATCTGACCAAGCTTGGACTATTTTGGAAACAAAAACATAGATGAAGGTAAAGCCAAACCCCCTAATGACCAAAGAGTAGTTACTCATTGGTGTTGAATTTAAATACATGCCACACTTTCATTGTTTGTTTATGAATTTTAAATGGTATAATTCAGTGTTTAAGTTCAAGGTTCTTTGATGAAGAAATCTGGAGATGGTGGTGGTTGTAGTGGGTGGGTGGGTGGGGATAAACACAGTAACAGTGTGTTAAAGGGTTTCTTTTTTGATTTTACTTGTCACTATAATCTAGTAGTTGCCCTGCCATATGCTCTCTGTTTTAATGACCCCCTCTGACACAAGCTGTTTTTATTTAAAGCTTGTAACCACTGCTCGTGTTACAGACTCTCAGATTCCTACCTTCTCATTTCATTTTTTTTTTTTGCTCCTCCCCTGTACCCCCACCCCTTGTCACAGGTATGGCCTCGCAAGTGCAAGTGTTCTCCCCTCAAACTCTCCAGTCAAGTGCCTTCTTTAGCGTAAAAAAACTCAAGGTGGAGCAGAGTTGTAACTGGGATATGACAGGGTACGGCACACATAGCAAAGTCTACAGCTACAACAGCAGCAAGAACGTTTCTGCCACCGGTGGTGCTCCTCTAGGCATCAACAGCTCCCTGCAGGTCGCCAGCTCCACCCTGCCCTACGAGCAGGCCCTGATCTTTCCAGCCAGCGCTGGTCATATTGTGGTTGCCTCAGCCAGCAGCACCTTGGGGGCCGTCGGGTCTCTGCTGGGTAGCAGTGGTGGAGGCAGCAGCAACAGCAGTGGCGGAGGCGGTGGAGTTCACAACCTGACGCGCCGCAGCACGGTGAGTCTCCTGGACACTTACCAGCGATGTGGGCTTAAACGCAAGAGTGAAGAGCTCGACAACAACAGCAGTGTGCAGATCATTGAGGAACACGGCCCACCCATGATCCAGAACGGAGGAACAGGTGGAGCGACGGCGGCCACGGTGGCAACCGCCACCTCCACAGCGACGTCCAAAAACAGCGGCTCCAACAACGAAGGGGATTACCAACTAGTCCAGCATGAGGTGCTCTGCTCCATGACCAACACCTATGAAGTCTTGGAGTTCTTGGGTAGAGGAACCTTTGGGCAGGTGGTGAAGTGTTGGAAAAGGGGAACAAATGAGATAGTGGCCATCAAGATCTTAAAAAACCACCCTTCATATGCACGGCAGGGGCAAATTGAGGTCAGCATCCTGGCGCGCCTCAGCACAGAGAGCGCAGACGACTACAACTTTGTGAGAGCCTACGAGTGCTTCCAGCACAAGAACCACACGTGCCTGGTGTTTGAGATGTTGGAACAGAACTTGTATGACTTCCTCAAACAGAACAAGTTCAGCCCTTTGCCACTCAAGTACATCAGACCTGTGCTTCAGCAGGTGGCAACGGCGCTAATGAAACTGAAGAGCCTCGGACTGATCCACGCCGACCTGAAGCCAGAGAACATCATGCTTGTGGATCCTTCTCGTCAGCCCTACAGGGTCAAAGTCATTGACTTTGGCTCAGCCAGTCATGTGTCCAAAGCAGTGTGCTCCACTTATCTGCAATCCAGATACTACAGGTAAAAACATCAACTCACAAATAATAGACCTGGTTTGAGCTGGATATGCTGCCTTTTTCAAAAGTGAATCTTTTGCATTTTGTTTCCCATTTAAATGTGTTTTATTCACATTTTCATTGTGCAACAGGAATTATTGCATTTACATTTGGCCTTTAGTTTAATACCCCCTTAAAAACCTCAGTAAACTCCTTCAAGATTGCTTCAGATTAGTGATATTTTTCTTAGTGTAAATCAAGCTGATCTGTGAAGGCCTCAAAGGTCCCCAGCTCAGTTAGGAAACTCCTTTAACATGATAACTTAAAGTCCAAAGCTCTGATCTTTGTGTAAGGGTAGAAACATTCTCAAATTTTCAAAATAAAAGCTATGAGAATCGTGCTTGACATTTTCCAATGCATTTTTAAAACTATATTAAACAGATATGCTGCAGAAACTTTACACCCTGATAATATAATAACCTGGAAAGCCAGATTTATAATGTGCTACACTTGGGTTTAGTTCTGTACATGATCAATTTAGGACTCCTCTAACGTTTAACAGAACATTCAAGAGGACTTGGGAAACTGACACCTAGTGCCCACCTTTGGATAAAACCAAAGTTTGTTTTTAGTAAATTACAGAAATAAATGAAGCAGCAGCAGATGCCGTGTTAAAAAAAACAACAACTATTACTCTTTCAAAAATGAAAGTATGAATTAATGCATGTAAACAGATGATAGCAATAGCTACACTCAGATCCTCCTGCACTGCCATGTTTATTTTGCTTCAGGTGTGGGCTTGGCAGCCCTCGCTTCCATCACAGCCATATGTCCCACCTTAAACCATAATACTGTAGCATGATTGGGTCTTTAATAGTTAAACCAGGAGCGGGACAAGATGGATTCTTGTGAGTTGTAAATGCTTATTTACCACCAAGATTCAGCTTGCAGGCAATGTTAAACATAAAACAGTGGCAGTATCATCATGTGGGGATTCTTGTCATTAGGAGGGACAGACAAGCTGATCAGTGTTGATGGGAAGATGGATGGAGCTAAATCCAAAAACTTCCAGAAAGAAAACCTGTGGAGTTTCACGTTTTAGCAGGACCAGCCTAAACAAACAGTATGGAATGACTTGGGAAAACGCACATGGCTTAGCCAAAGTCCAGAGAATGGATTATAGGCATTCGGGCCACTAATGTATTACTTTGGAGAGTATGTAGTTGTAAAATTAGAAAATCTGAAAAAGATCAGGTGGAGTGTTTAGTCCTGCAGGGCACTGCTTGGTGCTAAAAGAATGATCAATCATATCCATCTAGAGAAGATTCAAAACACGATAGATGTTTTTTTCCTGTTGGTTGCATTTTCATATTTTTGCTGTCTTTGCCTGGTTTAATTCAGGGCTGTTTTAATGGGAATGTTTTCGCCATTGTGCTGGTTAATAAACATCCAGAATTGCTTGCCAACCTTATGAGCCGCTGCTGAAATTGTCTCTGCATTCCAGCTTTGTGTTTTCCTCGTGTTTACTGCATTTGTTAAACCCCTATTTAATCTTAAACAGGCCAGTAAAACTCAAAGGCTTGTAAAGTGGCCAGCTGCTTATTGTGCCTAATGAGATAAAACAAGCATGTTTTGGTGCTACTTTGATGATTATAGAGGACCTGCTCAGTTTTCTCACGTCTTGCTCGGGCTGTCGTAAAGAAACAGAAGACCACAGGGAATTTATGAAGCAGAGACTTTGTTTCGTTGCAGAGAGACGTTTGGGTTAAAAATGTGCTTCCTGTTTGCAATAGAGGAGCACTGAAAGGATCTCAGACAAACTCCCTCATAGAAGAGGGTACTAATCATGTGAGGTGGCAAGCTGCCCATATGCATCTATTCACCCTTCAGCTCCCCCGGCTCCTTAGATACTCGGCCCCCCATCGCAGAGTAGCTCCCATTTCCCCAGGGATAGAGATGAGGGGTCAGCCCGAGTTCTCCTGTTATATGCGCTTGTAATCCACACCAGCAGACCCTGCATTAGAACCAGATGACGCTCTGGGAAGACCTGTTTTTCCTCTCCCATGGCTTTTAAAAGAATGGATATTTTCATCAACAGCGAACTTTGAGTTCAGATTTGAGTGAAGGCAGATTTTAGGGGACTGTATGCCGTCTTTATCAGCATAGAGGGGAGCTTTGTGTGGGGCTCAGGTGTGGCTCTGGCTTTTGATGGAAAAGCAGGTGTGTGTGAGCTGTTGCACCCACACACACACTGACACACAGAGACATACTTTAACATACATGCCAGGTGTTGCTCCTGAGCTCAGCTTTTTGTGGCATGTGCTGTAAGAAGTTTACAGAGTATCTGTAAAGAACACTTCAGTTGTTTTGGATGTTCTGGAAGTAAGCATGGGTCACCATGACATTTTTATATGGTTCTCTTAAGATTCAAATACCACTTTTTCAGAGTAACTAGATTACTAGGCTTTGATTTGTTCAATTAGAGGCTGCTTTTTCATAGAAACATTGCCTTAAGCTGACAGATTGTCATTTTGCAAGTATATTACCTTAATGGTAGTGATTGGTACTGTCATTGTTCACATTCAGTTCACGACAGGCTCTCGTTTCCATGACTGAAAATCATTTCTAGTCCTTGTTCTAGCCTCCTGACTTGCAGTGTACAGCATGTATGTAGCCAAGTTTTTGTTTCACAGAAATAGGCTACATTTCAGGGACTTACAAGTTATCTTCTTGGTGTGGGGGTTTGAAAGTAATATGCAAATTGGGTTTAGGTTAGGGTTAGGTATGTGTTGGTTATGGTTAGGTTTAGGGTAAGGGTTAGGGTTATGGTTAGGGTTAACATTAGGCCATAAAAATGAATACAATAGAAGTCAATGGAAAGGCTCCACTAGGGTAGTGTAACTTTTTGAAAATGGCCATATCAATTTAGCTGTAATAGACTGTAATTCTTACATTAGGTGAAAATGTAATTAATTTAGAGTTGATTTGAAGGTCAGTTGAGTTTTGGTAGGTTTAAATGTTTTCATTTGTCTCTTCCAAAAGCTAAAGCTACTTCAGTGCATTTGGTTTTCACTTTGCTTATAATAAATATCTTATCCATAAACAGGAATTTTGTTATGAACAATTACCTTATTAACAGGATATCAGCACTGAAATTTAAACAAAAAATCTCCAGCATCATTTTATTAGTTTTCTTTAAAATGGAGAAGAAACAATTATTACTATTTTTGCAAAACATTTCAGTAAAATAATTACTATTGTCACAGAAATTGTTGCTTGTACAGCTAGGTAAATGCCGTCTGTAGCTTTATTTTTTTGTAAGTTTGACTTAAGCAAACCCTTAAATTTAGCAGTTGTTTTATAAAGCCTATTAAACCCAAAAATTTTCAACAAACCAAAAAATTGTTGAAATAAACAAGCTTTATATCCTTAATATCTGTTTGAGAATGTTTTTTTTTATTATTGTTTGCTTAAAGAGCAGGTTTATGATAAAGAAAATGCTTCTTATACTTACGTAGATAAAGAAAAAACATATGCATTTCTATCATAGACTAACGTGTTTTATTGAAACTTCTGTTTAAAAAAGGATATGGCGTGCAACAAAAAGATAATACTACATAAAATGAATATTCTTTGCACCAATAGTCATCTTTTGAAGAAATGCCATGCATTAAAATGCAGAGGAAGAACTGCAAAAGCAAGTAGTTTTCTATACCCTTTAACATTTAAAGTCATTGCTAAGTTCCCCAGCATCTTGCAAAATATATTAAAAGCTACGGTTTAGGTTCTAAAGGGCCACGTGTAGCCGAAGCTTCAGGTTACAGATCCCCCAGTCATGGTGTAACAGGACTGTAATGAGCTGATGTAAGCTGGTTAATTAGTCAGGCTATCTGCTTTGTATAGGTTGCCTGTAGCTGGCTAATTAAAGTCTTAAAACAATGTTAATTAAGAGCTATGCTTGTTGGTCATTTGTTTACCAATTTATTACTCAATCTGTTTTTGATGACCATCGATCTGTCCAAACATTCAAACATGACTTTTTATTTAAGGTCCAAAGTGGAACCATGTTACTTTAAGCCAGCTGACAGGTGGTGTGCAGTCGCAAAACTTCAGTCTTTCTCAGCAATCTGATTTAAAAGACTACTGTCACTGAAAATCTATGTGCTTTCTGTGAAAGACTTTGGGATGGCTTCACATCACTAGGGACCGGGATCACCATCAGAAAAGAAATTTGGGTTAGTAATCATATTTTAGATTAGAAGTTTACTTAGAACCTAACTTACCAAAAAGAAGAAAAATAAATAAACTCTTCTTACTGATGCCACTATCTGATTAGCCAAAACATGTGGTCGAGGTATGGGTTGCATTTTCATACAGAGGGATCTGAATTCTACCTGTTAAATTTGAAACTTCTTCACCAAACCTTAAAATCCAACATGTCCGCCATTCATATAAAGCAGTAATTCTACTCTGTCTGCTCCTGTGGGTGAATATGGTGCTATGTTTGAAAGTCCAAAATGCACACAAATACAGTACGGTAGTAGCCCTGTAACACATTTTTTTGGAAGCATTGTTGGTTATGGTAGTTACTGTAGATTGGTCCCATACCAAAGACAATGAGGAACCTTCCGTCCAGTTTGGGAAACTGAAGCATTTTTGGTTTGCTGTGGATAGCTTCAGGTCTTATTGAGAGCTCTTCATGTGTTTTGGCTGTTTATAATAGCCCTGGGTTAAAATTAATTTGCTGGTATTTATGTTTCAAATATTTAAAGCAGGTACCACCAGTGGTACTTGAACTACAGTTTGGGAACCGTGTCCTTGCTAAAATAAAATAAAAGAGAATTTATTTAAAAAATGTCTTCTTTTTTTTACTGAGCAGATATAAACAATCCCTAACAGTTTACTTTAATTAGGTTGAAATTAAGGCTGGAACTAACGATTATTATGCTAATGGATTAAACTATTTATTATTTTTCAATTAATCAATTAATAATCGGACAGCAAAAGGTTCCTTAAAGAATTTTT